GGACACGGGACGCGGCCGAGCAATGGACCTGGGACGCGGCTGAGTGATGGGGATGTAGGATATGGAGTGATGGGGACACAGCTGAGCAGAGTGATGGGGATGCAGGACACAGCTAAGTAATGGGGACATGGAGTGATGGGGACATACAACATGCGATGATGGGGACATACAACATGCGATGATGGGGATGTGGGATGGCTGAGTGACAGGGACACGGGAGACAGCTCAGCGATGGGATGTGGGACATGGCTGAGTGATGGGGATGTGCAATGTGGAGTGATGGGGACATGGGACGTGGCTGAACGATGAAGACATGGGATATGGAATGATGGGGACATGGCTGAGTGATGGGGACATGGGACACGGCTGAGTGATGGGGACATGGGACACGGCTGAGTGGTGGGGACCTATGACATGGAGTGAGGGGGACACAGCTGAGTGATGGGATATGGGACATGGAATGATGGGGGTGAAGGACATGGTTGAGTGCCGGGGACATGGGACATGGCCAAGCGATGGAACATGGTACCCAGACCCTGGAGCAGAAGATCTCAGCACAATGCCCACCCCAAGCCCTGCACCCATCATGTCCTTGCACCCATCATCACCCCCACTGTGGTGCAGGACAGGGCTGGCCCCTCGGTGCAGGTGCAGCCGCCCTGAGAGAAACACACACTCCCCAACTTCTCTTGGCCTTTCCTTTGGGAATTCAGCCCATTCTGGCCCATTTTCCCTGGGAGACTCCAGGGAGGCTGGGGGTGCTCAGCCTGGGGGGGGGTGGGGGGGTGGTATTTTGGGGTGCCATTGCGGTTCTGTCCCCCAGATGGGGCACCTGAGCGCCCACTCCGACGAGGTTTTCTGCACAAAGGGGTTTTTCCAGGGTGAGAAAGTGTCACCAGTGTTGGTGGGAACCCAGCGGGACGTCCCCGACCCACCGCCCTCATCCCACTGGGACAGGATGGGATGGGGACAGGATGGGACAGGGACAAGCAGGATGGGGACAGGACGGGATGGCAACAGGCAGGATGAGTCCAGGGCAGTTTGGGGACAGACAGACAAGAGGGGGACAGGTAGGATGGTGACAGTGGACAAAATGGGGACAGACAAGAGGGGGACAAGGCAGGATGAGGCTGAGGCCAGGGCAGGATGGGGCCAGGATGGTATGGGGACAGGCAGGATGGGATGGGGACGGGCAGGATGGAGATAGCATGGGTGGGAATGGGGATGGGGATGTGAATGGGGAGGGGACAGGATGTAATGGGACAGGATGGGTGGGAATTGCAATGGGATGGGATGACATAGGATAGAATGGGATGCGATAGGATGAGACAGGGTAGGGACAGGATGGGAGGGGATAGGTGTGGGATTGGGATGAAGATGGTGATGGGGATAGGATGGGGTGAGAAGAGGATGGGGGTGAGGATGGGACAGTACAGGAGAGCATGGGATGGGATGGGATGGGACGGGACAGGGTGGGAATGGAATGCAGGCCAGGCTGGCCCAGCCGGTGGGTCTGGGCGGTGCGCTGCCTCGCAGGTGGCCTACGACACGGGCGACTACTACCACTCCATTGCGTGGCTGGAGGAGGCCGTCAGCCTCTTCCGCCTCTCCTACGGCAGCTGGAATCCCGAGGACCGGAGCAGTCTGGAGGATGCTCTGGACCATCTCGCTTTCTCCTACTTTATGGTACGTCCGTGAGTCCCATCCCCATCACCCTGGTGCCCGGTGGAGCCGAACCGTGGGCACGGGGATGCTCATGGGTTCTCTGCTCCCCCCATCCAGGCTGGAAACGTCTCCCATGCCTTGAGCCTCTCCAAGGAGTTTCTCCACTATGGTATGTGGGGCAACCTTGGAGGTGGGGAGAGGTTTTGGAGTGTCCCCATCACCTCTTCATGGCACCAGCCTCCTTCAACCCATTTCTTGCCCCCACGTGGGGTGATTCTCCAGGGACTGATGCCGGGGGAAGGGGGATGATGGGGACACGGCGTTTTCGGGTGACACCACCTTTCTGGCAGACCCCAGTAACCGAAGGGTGGCGAGGAATGTGGCCAAGTACGAGAAGCTGCTGGAGACGGGGATGGCGGCAAGTGCCGGACCCCTGCGGCGACCCAATGGCACCCGCCTGCAGAGCCGCGATGCCTACGAGGAGCTGTGCCAGCGCCCAGGGGGGCAGGTGGGGCTGGCGGGGGGGGTGCCACGGTCCCCCACCCCACCACTGTCCCCCTCCTCATACCCTCCTTGGTCGTCTCTCTCCCCAGCCATCCCCGGAGCAGCTTCCGCGCCTTAGCTGCTCCTACGAGACCAATGGCAGCCCCTACCTCCTACTCCAGCCTGCCAAGAAGGAGGTGGTCCGGATCCGACCCTACGTGGCATTGTACCACGATTTCATCAGCGATGCCGAAGCTGAGACCATCAAGGGCCTGGCGGGACCCTGGGTGAGCCATCCCCAAGGTTGTCCATCTCCTGGAGGAGGATGCCCCAAGACCTGGTGGTCCAGGGTGGACCACCCTGAGCATGCAGAGATAGGAGGGCTTTTAAGCCAGGGCTTAGCCAAAGACTTCTGCAGTGAGACACTGGGGGGGAGATGAGCCCAGCTTAGTACCGAGGCCCCCCCCCAAAAGATTCTGGGGAGAAACCAGGTCCATGCATGCACCTGAACCCCTTCCCAGCCAGGCTTGACGTGGTGACACCCAACTGCTTTGGATCCAACTGCTATCACTGCTTCCATCACCCCAATGGGACACGCTGGGGTGGGGATGTTTGGCCACCAGCTGGTATAAACCACCCCCCCCCAGTTTTGACCCCGATTGGGGTCCCTGCTTGGTGTGGGGGTCCCCATCTGCAGCAACATTCCCCCCGCCATGTGTCCTCCAGCTGCAGAGGTCCGTGGTCGCCTCTGGAGAGAAGCAGCAGAAAGCCGAGTACCGAATAAGCAAGAGGTAGTAGCCACCCCCTCCCTTGTCCTCCAGCCAGCGGGGCCATGCTGGGGAAGCCTGGGTCCTCCACACCCAGCAGTGCCACGAGGGTTAAGCCCAGCCCTGTGTGAATTTTGGGGGGGGCTGAAGGTAGGGTGTTCCCGCAGCGCCTGGTTGAAGGACACGGCCGACCCAGTGGTGAGGGTGTTGGAGCAGCGCATCGCTGCCGTCACCGGCCTGGATCTGCGGCCACCCTACGCCGAGTACCTGCAGGTGGTCAACTATGGCTTGGGAGGTCACTACGAGCCACACTTCGACCACGCCACGGTCAGGGAGCTGCTTGAGTGGTCTGTGGGGTGGTTCCTGTTGGGATGGTCCTTGGGGTGATCCTGGGATGGTTCCTGGGGTGGTCTCTCACACAGTCACCAGGGTGGTCCCTGGGATGTTCTTGGAAATGGTCCTTGGGGTGGTCTTTGGGGTGCTCTCTGGGCTGGTCCCTCAGATGGCCCTGGAAGTGGAGCCTGGGGTGGTCCCCGTGATGTTCCTGGGATGGTTGCCTGGGGGGAGGTCCCTGGGGGTGTCCCCATGGTGATCCCTGGGATGGTGCCTGGGATGTTCCTGGGAAGGGAGGGAGAGAAAAGAAGGGAGAGGGAGAGATCTCCCTGGGGGCAGCTCAGCCACCAGCTCTGTTAGGGTGAGGTACCTCCAGGCCAGGCTGTGTCAGCGTGGGACTGACTGTCCCCACCTCCTTGCTCTTGGGGCAGTCCAGGAAGAGCCCCCTTTACAGAATGAAGTCGGGCAACAGGATCGCCACAGTCATGATCTATGTGAGTTCTCCCCCCATTTCCGAGCCTAGAGAGACTGCACTTGCATGGTCATCAGTAGGGTTCAGAATGAACAAGGTTTGGGATGGGTGAGGGCAGCCCTAACCCAAACCGTGGTGGGGTGTTAAATGACAACATCTGCAGAGCATTTAAGAGCCTGTGCCATGTTGTAGCAAGGGAAGTGCTGTGGGGGACAAAGGGAGGTTCTGTGCCTCAGTTTCCCCATGGAAAGCAGCCATATCACAGGGGAGAGGGGAGGTAGAGCTATGGCTCATATTTTTGCTCCTTTTCCAGCTGAGCGCGGTGGAAGCTGGCGGCTCCACTGCCTTCATCTACGCCAACTTCAGCGTGCCCGTGGTTAAGGTGAGGGAGACCTGCATGAGCCCCCCAGGAGCAGGGAAGGGGGGGGATGCTGCTCTTTTGTGCCTCATCTCTCGCAGGGAGTTGTGGCCAAGCCCATCTGGATGCCAAACCCCCACCCTGGGCTCCCATCTGTGTTTTGGGATGCCCAAATCCAATCTCGGGGATCCCAGACCTGTTTTGGAATGCCAAAACCCCAACTCCAGGGGTCCCAGCTCTATTTTGGGGTGCCAAACCACAATTCTGGGGCTCCTGGCTCTGTTTTAGGGGTGCCAAACCCCAGAGCTCCCACCCCCTCTCTGCTCCACAGAATGCAGCTCTCTTCTGGTGGAACCTGCGGAGGAACGGGGACGGTGACGGGGACACCTTGCACGCTGGCTGCCCCGTCCTGGCTGGGGACAAGTGGGGTGAGAGACTGTGCCTGGTGTCACCCCAGGGTGACATGGGGTTGGAGAGGCAGCTCTGCCAGCAGGGAGGCGAGAGGGGCTGGGAACCCAGAAAAATTCTGGGCAATAGGGAAAAATATGTCACCAATACTGGAGTGGGGTCGGAAAGGGGTGCAGGGGGATGGAGGCAGACAGGGGTCCTTGTCCTTGTCCCTTCCAGTGGCAAATAAGTGGATCCACGAGCACGGGCAGGAGTTTCGGCGGCCGTGCAGCACCGACCCGCAAGACTGAGCTGCCGTGGGCTCAAGGACGTAGCACCCGTGGGTGGCAAAGCCACCCTCGCGCAGTGTGTCCCCAAGGCTGCCACCAAGAGGAGGGAGGGACGGGGTTGGCAGCTGCGCGGGGTGCTATCAGCGGTGGTGGCACTTGCTCAGCCATGGCTGAATCTGGTGAAAATAAAGTCAAAAGACACTAAACTGGAGTCGGGGGGAAATACCTCAGTGTGGTACCTGACAGGATGATGTGGGGGTGTTTTTCGCCTGTTGCCCCCCCCATTCCCCCCCCCCCCCCCGATTCCAGCCTGGACTCTAAATGCACCCTCAAGTCCCCTCCTCCAGCCCTAGATGAAAAGTCTCTCTGCTAAAAGGACTGGCGGTTAGTGACGTGGTATTTCTATGGTAATCGGTAGGCTTCAGAGTGAACAGAACGGCCATACAGGACCAGAGCAAAGACACTACGCTATCCTTCCTCAAAGAAACCTGCTGCAGTGCCTAGCTGCATCTTGGGCCTGATCGTGCAGCCCCACACTCTGCTCTCGTCCCAACAACAGCATAGGGCCCCCCGTCCTCTGCACCCCAGAAGGGTGTTTGGGGTTTTTTTCAGGGCAGTCACTGTAAGAGGGACCTTGGGGAGGGAGAAGGCAGCCACTGCCTTCCAGCCGCCCTGGCCCCCAGCCTGCCCGTGCTCGGACCATGCTTGCGCAAGTGTCGCTCCCCCGGGGCCCCGCAGACAAGCTCCCTTTCTCCAGCCTGACCACAGCACCTGCGTGACTGGAAGGCAAAAAGAGGCAGGAGGGCTCTCCAGCAACTCCTGGAGATCGGGCAGGGAGCCCACGCTCCACGCTGCTCTCCCCGGCCGCTTCCGAGGCGGGACAGCGCGGATGAAGCGAGAGTCAAGCTGGAGGACACCATCAGCCCCTACATAGAAACTCCCCGACTCCACATCCATCCAGCCTCATCTGTGCGACATTTGGACGAGATTAAAATCCTCCTGGACGGAGAGGCTGTGGGTACCGCAGCCTGGGGAGACCCGGCTCCCCAGGGGGGTCCAGGCCACCCCATCACCTCTCAGCCTTTTTGCTAGCTAGAAGGAAAAGGACAAACACTGGGGAGGGGGATAGAAACACCAGGCAGACCTCTCCCAGGGCTCTCCTGCTTGCTTTGGGTTAAAAAATGTGCATTTATCACTCCCTGGCTGGGTTTATCCAGCCCCGGATTAACCCTTCTGCAGACGCACAGGGGATGGGCAGGGAAACAGGAGCTGGAGCACCAGGAGGATGATACAGGAGCCCTTTTGGGCTCTGTTAGGCCTGCTTGAATGTAAAACAGCCTGCAAAATTTCAGAGCAAATTTCCCCAAATTCCTGCTCTTCAGATAGGAACCACCACCCCAGCATTCAGGCTATTATAAAACAGACGGTTCAACACAGCACAGGTTACTTAACAGCCAGAGTGCCGTGGTTTATTACTTTCAGATGTTTCTGTACACGTGGGAGCCATCGGTCACAGAGAGGAGGGGAAAAAGCAAAAGCTGTGGCTAAAGCATCCCCCCCTCCTCCCCACCTCAGACCGCGGAGAAGGGATGGGGGAATATTTCGGATGACGGGAGGCTTCCATGAGTCACCAGAAAAACTGAGGGCTTGGGTCTGGCCCCGGGGATCATAGAATCATTTAGGTTGGAAAAGACCTTTAAGAGGATGTCGCAGGAACAGCCGGATTGACACCCTTCCTCCACAGGCTGCTCCGAGGAGCCCGAGTACCGCAGATGAAGGGAAAGAAGGAGTTCCTACCCCAGGCTTTTCACAACTGCTTTTATTTGTAGGCGAGAGAAACGGACACCGAACAAGACACGAACAGGATGAGGCTGACAAGGGACACAGAGCGCGGTCTCTGGAGAACTGACATACACACATACACACACATTTTCCTTTTGGAAACAGCAGCACGTGGTAAGAGATCACCCTGCCAGACTGGGAAAACTTGGCCTAAACCAGCTAAGCATCCACCAGCAAAGCTCGCAGCAAACACCCAAGCACTATCCTGCAGGTTTTGGATGCCTTACGGCCAATGTGCTGAGGGTGCAGCATTACCAGACGGATCAGGGCAGATGATACAGCCAAGGGAGGCAGGTTTGGGCAACACAAACAGCAGGTTCAGGTTGTGAGAGGAGCACCAGGCTCAGAGACGGGTGTTATAACGCACCAGGGCCAAGTTTTCTTGGAAATGGCAGCCCATAAACTATTTTTTTTTTTTTTTGGACCTTACCTGAAGATCTAGGTCTAGATTTTCAGGACTGTTGAACACCAGTTCAAACCAGTGAATGGCTGATTGCCAGACACCTCTGAACATCTATCCTCCCAGGCCCTTTGACACTCAAAACAAAAGGCAATAGCGGAGGGGAGGAGAAACATCGGCGCTAAAGTCAAGGAGGTGGAGAACATCAGCACAAAGCTGTTTGCTCTCCCCTGTTCGCTGAAGACCCTGTTGAATGTGGCAGCACACTAATAAAAGTTTTTGGAGTCCTGGGATGGTCTTGCTGAGCAAGAAGCCAGCAAGTGGCTTTGCCCTATTGCAATCGCTCAGCCCTACGCTGCAGAGAGAGGAAAAGGAAGGAGGTTCTCTCTGAACTGCCCCAGCACGGTATTTACTGGGCTACTGGTGTTACCAATGGGATCTCTCACAACACCACCACCTCTGAGAGCTCCCTGACCATGAGCTCAGTTTAGAAGTCACTCCGTGCTTTACTGTAGAACTTACTTTTTTTTTTTTTTTTCAGAGGGTGTCTTGGTTGCAGAGAAAATGACCTCCAGCTGCAATAAGCATCGGTGGTTTTAATTGGCTTTGGTATCATCTCCCACCCACTTCACATCTGGACCAGGGCAGGCTGAAGACAAAAAAAGAGAAGGCTCAAAAGAAAAGTGAGCTCCATACAGCAACACGATTTGGCAATCATTTCAAGACCAAGTGTCTGCGTCTGTACATATCGATTGCCCCAGTCACTAACAGTGTTTTCAAAACACCAGCACGGAGGAACTGTGCTAGCTTAAGCATGTGCGAAGACAAACAGCCGAGCTCTGCATTTGCAGGATCTGTATTCAAGGCAAAACTACATGCTTCTGCAATACAGGAATCGTCTTTTTCCAACAATCTCAATGCTCCTGGAATCTACAAGTCACCCAGGGTTTTGCTCAGTGCATTTAATCCGGGAGCTGGCAAAACCCACCCTGGGTCTGATTTGAAAAATTTAAGAAGCCAACCCCACAACAAACCAGCCTCCCAAACTGCATCTTCTGCTCCTGCCGAGCCTTGGGATTTTCCACTGTGAAAGTTTCCACCAATCCTCAATCCAACAACTGGAACAAAAGCAAGAGAGATTTCTAAATACTCAAAAGCGCCAGCATAAAACCAGCATCCTTTCAATTCAGACAGCCTCCTTTTTATCTGCTTTTACACAGAGACAGTACAATGCTGCAGGCTGTGGGAAAATGCAGTGAAAAGCTGGTAGTTATGGGGGGATTTTCTAGATGTTCTCATTTTTCATGAGTCAAAGAGAACATTTCTTCTCTCTGCAGTTACTTTTACCATGGTCTGTGCTATCCTTCACCTAAATACCATTTACCTCTGCCTGTAGCTCCCTGAAAAGGCAGAAAAAACTGCAACAGGAGCATTAATATTTTTCAAAGTACAGTCTCAAAAATGTTTGTGGCTCGACACAGCCAAAAGGAATTCCCCCTCCACCCACCCACACACTATCACTGCTGTCCCTGTAGTCGCCTTTTTTTGAAGCCAGCACTACATGAGTCCCTGAACAGCTACCTATTCTGCGCAAGTCAGGATTGAGAGCTTGGCACAGAGCAATGCCACATTAAATAGGCTGTTGAAATATTTATTTTTTCACTCACTTCTCAAATGTTAACAACAAAATATAATTCTGGGGAGCCCACAGGATTCAGAAACAGTCATTCATTCCCCAGTGGTGCTTCTACAGAATACAAAACTGATTTTCTTTTGCTTTCCATGGAGGGTTTTGTTTGGTTTTTTTAAGATCTCACAAACTGTAAAAGCAAATGAAAGGGATAACATGAGAGGCAAACGCAAGGAGTTACCGCAACGAATCACTCAAAGCCAGATCCTCCAAGTTACTTCAGCACGGAGGAATGTGACTTCGCAGAGATCATTCATGAGTACGACAACAGGCACATGCTTAACTATCCCGTAAAGTGATACTCTGGACACACACACTGTATTATTTAATCTCTAACAATTTGAACACAGGAGTAATCTGGAAAGGACCGAGAATTTTGCCAATCTTCAGGATACAGCTGGGGAAAGTGCTATTTTGCATCTCAACTACTGAAGATCCATTTAATCCATCAGCATCTAGAACAGGGGTGGACATTACATCAAGGTCACAGCAAACTAATGCAATAATTAACACGGCGACTTACAGAGGGAAGAGCTGGGAGCCAGCAATTGCTCTTTTAACACCTGAGTGCTGATGGCCAAAGTGCCAGGAGAGAGGAGAGCTCTCTGGAATGAGGCTTTCTTGTCTCTAATTCAGGCATTTCCCACCCTGATGTGTCAGGGAAGGGACACAAAGCAAGGCCATGACTGCCGTGTCCAGGGCTCACATGGGAATGAATCAGAGGAGATGAGCGGCTCTCCATCAGGGTAAATGGCAACATTAAACCAGGCTTTGTCAGCTCTTCACACCACCTCCCTTTGCCCCACCTGCACCTCTCAAATAAGAATTCATGATGGCTCGTCACAGGACGTACGCATAGATGCACATCGCAGCTCCCAAATCAGGCCAACAACAGAACTCTGCCTCAGCAAAACAGCATTAAAATACTGCTTTCATCATACAGCATCGAGGGGTTATGGACACAAGGCAAAAAAAAAAAAAAATTTCAGCCATCCACCAGCAAAATATTGAGGATAACTGCTCCAAAACGTGTCTGCTCTTATGCTCAAGAGTGATTCTTAGGTGAAAGCAATCTGACGAACTGTCTGT